TAAATAGTCTGCTGTGACTGAACACGTTTTTTCTACGGTAAAGTGTGGACATCAGAAAAACCACAATTAAGTGTTGAGACTTTGAAAGCCATTTTATGTGTCAAATATAATTTAACAAATTCTTGTGAAAAATTTCATGACCTTTTAAACAACGACAGCAATCTACTAAAAAAAAAATCACTCAAGTGAGAAATATGCCAAAGAATAAAATAATACTGTACATAATTTTTGTAAATACATTTAATAAATATAAATGTAAATAAATGTATTATATTTGTTAATTGTAGTTATGTTGAAATAAAAAAAATATTACAATACTATTTTTGCGTTGTATGAAAATTTTTGTTGCTCCATAAAAATTTTTAAATCAACACCCCCCCTCCCCCGGGTCAATGGTGTCCCTCTTTACCAATCTGAAAATCTGGTCACCTTAGTCTAACTGCATAAGAGGTAGGAAAGTATTAATTTCCCTGTACTTATTACAAAGAATATTTTACTTCTTAAAATATTTTTTTCTATTTTTTTCTAGTCTTTAACATTTGAAGAGAATATAGCACCCAAAGGTAGCATAAGAACGAATGGTTGGAAACTTTACAAAAGGGAGATCCAAATGTTAAATGAAGATTTCTTGACTGTATGTGCAGTCAAGAGGGACAGTCTGCCTTCTGGAGTCATGTCTGTATCATAGTTTTACAAAAAAAAATTAGTCATGTCTGAGATAGTATGCAAATTTCTGTCTTGGACAAGAGGCTGAACTAGAAGATCTTCAAAATCTCTTTCAACCCTATAAATCTATGAACCAGTTTATCTGGATCACCTATTGTTTCCACTTCCACTTCTATTTGCAGTTTGTAGATCCAATTATATAACTTTTGTAAACAAATCTTATAGAAGGAAAGAGATTTAGAGAGATTTTACAGGCTTGGAGGGAACTAAAGATGTTAGTTAAAGGAAAAACATATATAAGACTGATTAACCATTACTTAACTGGATGGATAAAACATTTTAACATTGAAAATATTGAAGGACACTTTGGAAAAGTTAAATTAGAAGTGAATATCAACAATTTCAATACTGATATTTGCTTCTATGGATAGACTGTATACAAATTATGTTTTAGAAAAAAATGGCAGATGAGGAACAAATTCTATTTGACATGGCACAGATGTCGTGGCAGACATGATCATAGATCTAAAAATGGAAGTTTATGAGAATGGCATGGAAAAGGTTGTCACACTAGACCAGGGGTGTCAAGCACGCGGCCTGTGCCCAGAAGCATCACACGCTAGCCACAGCCACCCCCATTTTAGTGAAGGGGGGAAAGTTGCAATACATCACGAGATGACATTGTGACAAGGTGAGTTTGATACCCTTGTAATAGATGTACAAGAGAAACTAGTTGATGTTTTAAAAATCAAAATGTAAATGCAAATAAGAAACCAAGAGAGTTACCTGGGTAATTCTTTTATGTTAGATTTACAAAAGATGCTTGATAAAGCTTTGAAGAATCTTGTGAGAAGGAACTAAGAAGAAATTATATCAAATTCCAGCAACATTATTTAAATGAACTAGCAATTAAAACTGTTAAGAATGAACAAATTTATAATTAATTTATTTGATCAAAGTTAAAATATATTATTTCTAGTAACCCTTAATGAAATTTCTGCTGACACTGGGACTAAAAAGATTATGTCTTATGGATTTGCCTATATATAAGAGGTGGGATATGAATGAAGAGTTATTGATGTGAATAGAGGGAAGCAAAGCATTATTAACATGTTTATACTTGTGTTGAAGGCTTTAATTTTTTCTCTCTGTTTGCTATATTTTTTTCTATTTTCTACATTCTTTTTTCTTTTCTTTTGCATCTTTCACTTTTTTTCATTCTTCTTTCTTTTAGGTTGAATTAATGTTATTATTGTAGTTAATTAAGTTTACAACTTAATAAAAGTTCTAAAATTAATGATGGCAAAACATATCTCTTTACAATTGTACAACAAATACATTACATTTTTTTCATTCAAGGTTGTCTCAATATTGCTCAGGAGAAAGAAACTGAATTAGCAGTGATTATATATAATGTATCTCCAAAATCTGAACTATATTGGCTTACTATGGTTAGTAATGATATGAAAATTTGAGGGCAATTAATTACTATGACTCTACAAACTAAAGAAAACAAATGGTCTCCATGTGCTTTAAAATTCTATATCCTGCTATATTCTTCTCTCTTTCTCTTCCTCATGTGAGAAACATGAACAAGAGTTGTGGTATTTGGAATTATGTTTTAAAGCCGCTAATAAAGATAAACTCAACTGTCACACTCAAATGCTTCATTAAATATTTATTGATGAAATCATAACATAATAAACATTATATGTGTCTTCAACTCATTTATTCCATAATGATCAAATAAAATCATTAGTATTACAAAAGATGGTTCATTGTTGGTTTTTTTTAAAAATTTCAAAAGCACATCAATAGCTAAATTCAGCAGAGGATCACTTAGGATTCAGGGATCATAATCAGTAACAAATGCTTTTGCTTTCAGTTTTGACTTGAAAATATCTATAGGAGGATGATTATTCTACATGGTTTTAATCAAATTCATTGTCGTGAATGCGGAATATTTTAGTACACCCAGTTAATAATTTATTGAGCACTTTTGTCTGATGGAGATGGTTGCAAAATTACAACTATCTGCAGAGGGCCTGCAGACTACACAGCTGCAGTCATCATGGAAATACTCAGGCTGTTAATTTGCACAATAAAACACACAAAACAAAAATATTTTTTTATTTTATTCTTATTGCACTTTTGTGCTTGGGCTTTTTCTGTTTTTCAGATGTAGCAGTGAGTCTACTTTATTTAGTTCTTGGGATTTAGTTTAAAGTAAGAGATTTAATTCTGCCTGTTGCTCAGGGTTTTTTCTAGGTTGTCCCATTCTTAAATATATTTACACTTAAAGCATTCTAACATTTGGTATCAATGGAGTTTTTAAGTGTATTGTCGCCTGAGCCTTTGTAAAATTGTAAAAGGGCCAAAGAGAGGGCATTCATTGGAGACCCCTATTCAACCATAGTCTTATTGTATTATAGGTGTAATTGTTGCTGTGACTGCTGCTATCAATGGATATACAGTATATATGTGCATGTGTATATGTATGTGTGTGTGTGTACGTATGTATGTATGCATACACACACACACACACACATCCAAAATGTGCAACTAATTCAGGATTACATTTTAATTCATCAATTTTACTGCCTTGCATCAAAAGATCAATGGTTTAGATGTGAAGCCCAGCCCAGAGGTGAAGCCATTGCTTTCATTGTCTTCCTTTCTCCCAGATGAAGGTCTAGGGTGCACTAGAGCTAGAGTCAGGTGATTAAAATCCCTGTCCTGTCCTGAAATGTACTTAGACCACTAGCTATTATTGCTCTGCCTATAGACATCAGAATAAAGTTGTCAAAATGAAAAAAAAAAAAGATAATTTGATGAGCTTTCCAGAGTAAATACGGTATACTTAATCTTGGGTTAATCTAATGGGGAGGGAGTGGAATCCTTCTTTGCCCCCTGATTAACCCAGTATTTTATGAAAACACATTACCATTAGGATCTGTAGAATTTCTGCATTTTATAGGAAGACAACCAAATCACATATGCAAAACTTCTGAATATCATTTCAAAACACAGTTGGTTATATTTATAAGATTAAGAAGGTTATTGTTCAATTTGAGTAAATCTGTTTAACTCTTAAACCAATATATCAGACTCAGAAGTGTGTAATTGGATAAGTTGTGATGACACTGAAATTATCTGAGAAATTATCAAAATGAGTATAAGAATGCATTTGCTGATTCCAGTCATGATCTGTCTTCAATCATTAAGGCATAATTAGTTTTCACTGATCTGCAGAGCTCTCCCAAATGAGATTATGCAGATGATTGATCTGAGGATACTTGAGAAGAAATGTTTTCTGACTGAAGCAGGAATGTTGTGTAAGCCATTTCAGCTTCCTCTTTAGAACCCTAAAATGAATAGAAATCCCAGCATTATTTTCATGGCGCCTGAGGATAACGTTATAAGGAACCTAACCAAAATTGTCATCTGCTTTTTAAAACAGTCATCCCCAAACTGGATATTCTCCAGGTATGTAATCTCAGCTCTACAAATCAGCCAGTATGGCTGCCTTAAATACTAATAATTATATTTCAGCCTAAACTTTAATGCTATAATTTCATGCTAATATTCATTATACTTAATGCCATATGCAATTAATTTCTACAATATTAGGAATCTAAACTGTATGAGATCATTGGTTTATTTAACCCATTATTGACACTAATGAGAAATAACTTTCAGAGTTTCAATCCAATTTTTCTCCCCAGCTCAATGAGCAAGTAACAGAACTGAACCTGGAATTGTTGCTAAACTATGTATCTTCCAGTCTACAATACTTGGTACAATATTTCAAACAATATGGCTTACAAAAGGTTTGTGAGAAGGTTTTACAATATCAAATAAAATAAGCTGTTCATTTAAAATTATAATGTAAAATTACATATGAAACAAAAATAACATGACAATCTTTTTTAAATGGTCCAACGTGGATTGATTTTTCTATGTTGCTCAGAGTCCCTTCTGGTGATATTGATGTATTATGTAAATTTGATTAATAAATGAATAAATTCATCCAACTTCCAAAACTATCACTATGATGAGATAGAATAGTACTATGAAACAAGAATACATTTATTTCCCTCAAAATTGAGTGAAAAGATAGCCAACTTTACTCCAAATACAGAAAATTCTGATGTTAGGGACAACCATAAGAAAGTTTGTGCTTAACATAGTATTGCTAAACGAGACTATGATATGAAAGACATAGAGAAAAGTCTCTTCATACTATCTTAAGCTCTAAAAGCAAATGAATAAACATACAAATGAATAATATTAATCCATTATAATCCTCTCAAAATAATATAATTTGTCCTTACCCTCTTTGGTTTACCCTTAGGACTGTCTGAATGCTCTGAAAAGAATACAAGATAGATTGAATGTGAAAAAATAAAACTTCATGTAGCTATAAATTCTATAATTGTCAAAATAATGTAACTTCATTGCTGACAAAGTGACAATTATATTTGGCTAGTAAGTATCAAACCACAATCAAAATACATTTTGAATAGCATTACCATCCTTCTTTCCCATTTGGGTCTCATGAAAGTCTTCCATTTGTGCATTGTCCTTTGCCCCATACTGTCTCACATTCTCAAACTCTGTCATGCTGATATTTGTCCTGTAGCTTCCAACTGATACAAGATCTATAAAAAGAAAAAAGAACATTTCACTACAATTTGTTTCACCTTAGATTCTATATACATATTGTATTAATTCTAGAAGAGAAAAGCTGATATAGATTGTAGTCTTATTGCTGAAATCTTATTGAAGTACTATTTGAAGGAGCTACCAGAGATGCAACTTGGGTCAGAAAAGCTCACAACATGGTATTTGCATTGTTCCATTAATTAAATGGCCATAATCCACAGGTGTGTTAGAGAAGGTTTTAGGACTAAATCTAAGGTCTTCTAATACCACACTAAAGAAATCTATAAACCGTAACAGCCCTAACACAGATAACATTAATTCATTCTTTCTGGGTTTAATAGGAGAGAGAAGGGGAAGAGGGAGGAAGAGAGATTAAACAGAACAAATTTCTGGAATGAAAGAATTTTTTTAAATTATTCAACCATAGTACATTTATAATCCAGACTGTAAAGTTTCTAATTTTTATCCTGTAATTTTATTTCTATATGTAAAAGCATTCTTTGCCCTATTTGATGCTCAAAAATATGCTATATGTATAGAAATTAAAATAGTTTCCAAGGAGGTTATATTTAGTATATACTCACCAGAATTCCTAAATAATCTGAACTTCTTTATGGTAAAGGCAGTGATAAGAAGCAGAAACACAATTCCACAGGGGATCAAAGTGGCAAGAAGAACAACAGAGTTCTTATTTTCACCATGGCTGGAAAAGAAGCAAAATTGGCATAGCAAATATACAGTATTAGTACAGTCTTAATAATATTTTTCAGAAAGACAGTGAAGAAGTTCTAGAACGTAATGCTATAGGAATGAACTTCATTCCATCAAGGCTCTCTTATGTTAATATTTCCATCTTGACTCTAAGAAAGAGATTGGGAAAATTAGCTTTTAATTTTTGATTGATTGTAGTTTTCCTTGTTTGCAGAAAAAAGCCTTCAACACCCACATTTGTCCACACTGATGTACAGAATGAAATAACATACTGTATAGACCTGGGGGAAGGCTATGATCATTATTTTTCATTAGTCTCAGTAGCAGTCATGTATACTAGGGAATTCTGGTGTATATAGCTACCTGCCTGGATAATATTCTGTTGAGCAACATAGTGCTTAACCAACATGATACAAACTTGGATTGACTTTAAAAATCTGATTAAGACTGAGATTGCCTTAAACTAGTTATATTTATCTTCTAGAAATGAGATGAATTCCTGAATTGTGTTTCTGCGCAATTGCAATAACCCAGCACTTAAAACACACAAACCTGCCACTTCTTACATCATTTTTGGCTCTCCAGAATTGCAAATTAATTTTCCATTGGTTAATATTATTTAAGCCAATAATTATATGGGGATGCTTAAATACTTTTGATTCTTTATATGCATGCATTCATAAATCATTATTAATTATTTTCAAAGCAGCTTACCTGCCTGAGGAAGTTCCACTTTCAGCTGCCTGATTGGCTTTGTCTAAGGGAGAATTCCTATTAACAGGATTTATTCCAGGAATGACAATCTCTTCATTGGGGTCTTCATTGATTCTGGATGCTTCTTCAAAATTTAGAAGTACTATTTTGGAGTATTTGGGGAATTGGTAACCCAGAAGCAAATGAGAACAGAAAAGCCAAGAAAAAAAATCAGCAAAAAAATCAATGAGATCATACTCAAGTTATATTCTTTTTCATAAGTAAAGGTTCCCCTCACATATATGTGCTAATTGTTCTCGACTCTAGGGAGAGGTGCTCATCTCCATTTCAAAGCCAAAGAGCCAGCCCTGTCCAGCATGATTAAATGACAAAGGCACACAGAACGCTGTTACCATCCACCAAAGGTGGTTCCTATTTTTTCTGCTTGTATTTTTATATGCTTCCGAACAGCTAGGTTGGCAGAAGCTGGGACAAGTAACAGGAACTCATTCCATTATGCAGTGCTAGGGATTCGAATCGCCGAACTGATTGACAAGCTCAGAGTCTTGGCCACTGAGCCACTGCATTTCTTTAAAACTACGTAAGTCAGCTAATGAAGACAATTATGCCATAGAGAAGGAAGTTGAGAATATCATCCAGAAAGAAGGAACAGTTCTATGTTGGTGGCCATGAAATAACTTCCAAGACTTTGACAAGACTTTGACTAAGTGCAGCTGAAAATTGGAATGGGTATAATCTAATTTGGTTCCCTGTTGTTTAGACTCACCTCCTTGTACTTGCAGTTGCAATGCAGCTGTTTCTCCATATTGCTGTCCATGTTTAACACCACACCAATACCATCCTTGGTCCGTGGGTGCCACCTGGTCAAAGCTCAAAGTTAAAATTCTATTATCTTTGTCACAGCTAACTACCAAGCCGGTCTGGTTTTGTTCAGATAAGATGAGTGGTTTACATTCAGTGTTCTTCCATTTGCACCAATATTTCTGATATGTAAAATATTTGCATGGATAAGAGCATGATATAGTCAGAGAGGAGCCAGCAACAGCGCGAACTTGTTTCTTTGTTAGTAATGAAGGTTGTCCTGTGTCAGGAGAAAGAAAAAAAAAGTGTAATAACCCCTCCCAAACACTTGAAAACAGAGTGCTTGATTTTTAGCACCACTAAAATGATTGATTATCTTGTCTACATAATACAGCTTCCTTACCCACTGAATCTACACAGCTATAATGCAAGCAGAAATTAGCCGGCCTTTCCTTGGCACATAATCAATGGGTAACTGTCACACTTGAATTAGGAAATTTGTGGTGGCCCAGGAGGAGCCGTTGGAGCTGCAAACAGACTCCGATAGCAAGGGACCCTATGAGTCAGCTCTGGAAGATGTGGAGGACCCTGGACAGGATTCAGACTCCGAGCAGGGACCTGAGAGGCTGGTTGGCCACCAGAAGGCGCCTGAGGCGGTGAAAGCCAAAGGGAGTTTGCCCCTGACGTCAGGCCCTGGAGCAGTGGTGAAGACATTAGGCCCTGGAGCAGTGGGGAGGAGCTAAGGGAGTTGGTCCCGGACACTAGGCAAAGACGGGCAGATAAGCGCCGACAGCAACTACGGAGATATAGAAGACAATTGGGGCTAGGTGGTTGTGATTAAGGCTCCTCCCAAGAGAGTATATAAGAAGAGACTTTGGGAGGAGATTTTTTTGCAGGACACAACTGTTATACTAAAGCTGGTGAAGGTCTATGTGTATTTCTTATCTGTGGAAGTCTGGGTTGTTGCCAAAGTCTTGTCAGTGTGTTAATTTACTGTGAATAAATTGTCTAGCAGTAATCTTGTGTCAGCGTGACTCACCATACGGAGGGGGTCAGAACAGCAATTAACTAATTTAACAGAGATGGTAGTTCCCATGAATCTTTCATATGAAAACCTTAGTTATTAAGGTGGACAATGACATACATGGTAAGTTGCACACATTGCATTGTGATATAGTAGTTAAAGTGTTGTGAAATCTTGATTTAAATCTCCGTTAGCCAGTTAATTGTCTTCTTGGAAAAGTTTTTTTCCCAAACAAAGATGTTACAAACATATGCAATAATTTACTTGAGGAAAATAGAAATGATATTCTGAATAAAAAAATTGTCACCAGATATAAAAAGAAAACAGAATTAGGTTTTAAAAATTAAAAAGGAAATAAAAATCATAATCCTAGAAAACAACTGGAATAATTTCTGTTTGCTGCATTTATAAATGAGACTGTTTAAAATGGTAAGAAATTTCTAATAAAGTCAAAAATAATCTGAATGGATTAGAAAGGTCTTTATAGAAGGAAGAAGGACTATTAAATCAGTTAATTTTGTCCGGGATTAGAAAATATGGATTTGCTTACATTTGACACTATGTAAAAGTCTTTCTTGCTTTTTTCCTTTATGTACTTATTTTTGTAATAATCTTATTAAGAATTTTGGAAAGAACAATAAAAGATAATATGAAGTCAAAAGAAAAGCTGCACATTTCTGAAATGTAGATGTGCTGATGGGTTAGAGTAGATACATGAAATATATATTTTAACAGAATAAGTTGGCATTTGGAAAGTTGTATATTGGAGCTTGCTTTTCGGAAAAATGATCTTTCTTTGTCATATTAAATTGGAGTAGGTTTTTTAGTCTGTTTTTTAGGTTTTTTAAATATTAGGATATTGGGACCACTTTATATCTTTTAAATAGGATTTTGTTATGCTTAAAAGTTGGGATGTGTATTGTGAAATATATATGTTAATTATATTAAAATTTTAGAGCTTTGATTGGATCTTTGGATCTTTTGCTGGAGTTGGATGAACATTACTTATTTGATTGGTTTATTGTTAAGTTATGGGTTATGGGAAGAGATTGTGGAATTGTTTACAGTTGTTGTGGCGAGGGTGGGAAGGCACTTTCTGGGGGTGCAGCAGGGCTCTGTTTATACTTTTTTCTTGATTTTCTTAAAAAATAAAAATAAATGGGGAAAGGATTTTGGTTATGGATGCATCCTGATCAAACATAAAGAAATTTAAAGTTGAGAATTATTGGCCTGACACTGAGGTGCACTGGGTAAACTCTGTCTACCCTTCAAACTAATGTAGTATATAGACATATATTTATAGACATCTATAATGCTAAAAGGCATTAATTTGTATTCCCAATCCACCTGAAAGCTACCTGGTTGAGAAATGGTGACATAGATATAAAGAGTCTTTCAGTACCCAGTATTTCAACAGCAAATTAAATTTCTGTTTCTATCTGCGTCTTCTACCAAAACAACAACAGGATTTAAGAGTACTGCAAGCTACAGTAGATATAAATAATGTATTTATATATGTATATACATGTATATGTTATTTTATTTTTAATTTATTATACAAATCTTTAAATGCTAAATTTGAAATGAATAAAAATCATGGACAGTGGGTAATGATACTTCAAAGCAAAGACAAGCTACCTAGTAGAACTTTTTGCTCGGATAGCAGCAAGGGGGACAAGAGTTACTTCCCCTTCTGACTCATCTTCCTGCTTACCACTTACATGTTATTTCTATTATTCTATTCTATTATGTTTATTTTGACTTTCCATCTGGGTTTGGAACAGCAACCCCCAAAGATTCAGGTAGCCCAAGCCAGTCTGACTTTCCAAAGGTCTTAAGGACATGCTCATCTGAGAATCCATTTTAATTGTCTGAATGTGCTAATTGTCTTTGATGCAATAAGTTTTAAGTTGCTGGATTTTTTTTAATTAGCTGCCTGAGCAGGTGGCCTTATATTAATCATGTGGAATAGCATTTCTCTGTAAATATATCTTATTTAAAACCAAGAGAATGGTTGAGGTGGCTTAGGTTTATTTTTTGCAGGAACTCATCAGTTAGGCAAAGGACATTCCTAAAATACATTACACCAAGCAGTACCTTCTACAATCTTCAGCTCTACTGAGGACTTCCTTTCCGATTTTCCATCAGTCATACACCAGTAATAGCCTATGTCATCCTTTTGCAGTTGGTTCAGTATGATAGTGAATGTGCCATTTTCTGGATCATCATGCATCATAAGTCTTCCCTCATAGGAATCCAGCACAAAGCCTTTATTGCTTATTAATTCAGTACATCCATTTTTTTTCCACTTGCACCAGTATTTCAATGTATTGTTTTCTTTTGGATTATAATGACATTCAACAGTCACAGAGCCACCCTGGACTCCATTTAACACTGACTGTTGTTTAGGTGCCAATCCATCTACAGATAGAAATATAAGCATAAAATTATAAAAATGTTATTATAATTGTTTTCTCAATCAGTTAATTATTTGTAGCGACAGATTTGGAATCCAAGAGTTCTTTCACTTACCTTCATAGACATGTAGATCTAACTTTTTGGATTCTCCATCTGCTCCATAATTCCCAGCTCCACAAAGATATAAACCTGAATCTTCTTTCTTTAACTGGCTCACAATGACACTGAAAGCTCCAGGTGTACCAAGATTGGTCAACAGAGTTCTTCCTAAGTAGGATGGTTCCACATTTCCATATGTATCAATCACATTGTAACAGTTGCTCTTTGTCATCTTGCACAGGTATTTCCTGTAACTTGCATACTGCACACCAAAGTTGCAGGTCATGGTCACTGTTTTTTGCTGCTCAGCATAATAAAGTTGTGCTTCCTCGGGTGGTACTTGGTCTGCATTAAAGTAATGAGAAGTCATTAGATGCATTTATTCTGCTTCCTTTATGCTGTTTTCTTGCAATATCACACAATGGTTTATATTAGCATTTTGACTAACAGTTATTTATTTTATGTTAGCATTTTAGCCACAACTACAACTATAACAGATAAGTAGTATCCAAAGTAGCTTGATAAACCATAAGCTTTATCAAAACTTAGTGATCCTGGTAAACTGTGCCTAACTTGGCACTCTACAAATAGAGCTCATTCTCTTAGCATGAAGGAGCTGCTTGTGGATCTTGGTCACGAAAAATGCTGTTCCAAAAGCAGTGTTTGCCCACTTTTCTCTCTGGCCAGCTGATCAGCATGGACTCTTGTTTTTCTGTTGCAATTAATGACACAAAACAAAACAATCTAGTTCCCCATAGGTTTTCGTTGTTAGTGATAAAAGCACAATGTGACTAATTGTTAAGGGGGGGGGGAGAAAGAGCAGGAATGATACTTTTATTAGTACAATGAGTATATGGATATGGTATGGTGTACACGTAAATGAGCATATGAAGGAACAAATGTATGCATGCAGTTCTTAATCCTGGTTGGCACTCCAGGTTTTCCCCACTCAATTGAAAGTTCAAGATACTGCCCCAACACCCACAAGTTCATCACATGGTCCAATTTTTCACTGCCACGAAGACAGATTCCTCCCATCCAGATCTGGCCAGGTGCAGAGACAAAGTTGACCTTGACTTTCAGAGAAGAATGTTATTGTGACTACACATCACCCAACTCCACATAACCCCCCTTCCCAGTTTCCCACAAGAGAAAGTGTGGCAGGCCTGAAGTCCAAAAAGAAAAGATGGCTTACAGGTCTGACACATATATTAATATGATATCTCGGACTATATGAACATTTTGTGCCCCCCCCCCAATACCCAATTGTGGTATGGAAAGAAATCACTGAAAGACATTTTAAATTTCTATGTCTACTTTTTGACATAACAAATGTAGCAAGCAACAGAAAACTTGAAGACATTTTTACTCCCTACCCACTAAAGTTTATACTGTGCTGTAATCCTTTCCCCATACACCAATTTTGTCAGGTAGCTCTTTCAGAGAATGTCTTCTTAGAATTAAGCTATAAAGTACATGCATTTTTATTAAAGGGGGAAACATAATACAGATCAATTATCTTCACAAAGTGTATTTATTTTAAGAAATTCTTAAATGTGCATTTATTTAAAAAGTATGATGTTTCAATCTATAATACAATTCATGAAATATTAAATAACTGCAATAAAACTGAGCAATATAACAGTGAACTAGATAAAAATAATATTATTTAAAATGCTTTGACAAATTAAGTAGGGATGAGACCACAGAAAAGGTCCTTTCATTTATACAAATCTCATATATTTCTCTTTGAGATGGGTTAAATAAACCTAATACATTTCTGCTAGGGAAGGTCCACATTTAGCAATCTTAATGTATTATCTAAGAAAGTCTAGAGGATTAGAAAACAGTACCTTGAGTAACTTCCAGCTGGACTTTAAAGGACAATCCATAGTCATTTAAACCAATGCCACATCTGTATAGACCCATATCTTTGAATCTCAGGTCTGATATTTCTATGATGAACATGCCATTCTCCGGAAAGTCAGTTATGGAGGCTCTGTCTTTGTAATCTTTGAGAACAAAACCATTAGATGAAATAAAGGTGTAACAACGTCTTGTTGATTCCCTGCACCAGTACTTCCTGGAATGAATATTCACACTCGTGGGAGGATAGAAACATTTGATACTCACGGAACCTTCCACCAATCCAGTTATCTGCTTTGGGCCAAAGAGGACATTTGAGGCGGAAACTGAGAAAAGGAAATAATATGGGAACGTGTAAGTATATGTATACTTATATAATATTCAACATACCTTGTTAGATCGGGTAATGGATAGGCACACACAGGCTAACGGTAACAACAGCTCTTTATTAAATGCAACAAATGAGAACAATCCAGGGAAGGCGGGTCTGACAGCAGCCCTTTTATAGAGATATAGATATAGAGATGTCAGACCCTTTGACCAATGAGATTAAACCTCTGTTCTCACCGGAACAGAGGACCTTGGTAGAAACCACTGTAGTTGAAGCTAGTATGTAACATCCCTCCCCATTTAGATGGAACAATCCTACTAGTCACGGAGTCACGCAGGTAGGCGGGCTTTTGGGTAGCTCTGCCTGACCTGCGCAGTTCAGTTGAAGGGTGTTCTTTGAGCAGGTTGAACGGACCTGTTTGCTCCACAGTTCCGCTTGGTGGAAGCTCCTGGAACCTTTCATAGGCCGTGGATGGAGCTTCTAGAGCTGGTTCACTCGGAGCACCCTGCGGGTCTGCAACACAACCAGATAAGTTTCCCGGTCCCTCGGGCTTGAGCTGCCTGTGGAAGGAGTGGCGTATTGCTCCCTTTGGGTAGGGCTTTGGCTAACTTGTGCAGGAGTTACCTCTGGTTGTCTAAGAGTTGAGTTGGAGAGGCGGCCACGGAGTTGGTCAATGTGCCTTCTCCAATTCCGACCGTCCTCGAGCTCTATGAGATAAGAGTGAGGCCCGGTGATGCCTATCACTGTGGCAGCAATCCACAGAGTTCCCCCGGCGTAGTTGTGGGTGTAAACTGAATCCCCTATGCTCAACTTCTGAATTTTGCTTGTGGAGTCCGGGGGCGATGTGGCAGAATAGTTTGGGTGTAGCTGGTCTAAGTGGGACCTTAGCTGGTGACCCATGAGAAGTTCGGAGGGGCTTCTCCCTGTAGTGGCACTGAGTGTGATATGTTGGATTAGCAGATAATGGTCAACCCGTGTTTGCCAATCTCTCAGGCCCATGCTAGAGAGGGCCTCTTTTATAGATCTCACCATTCTCTCCGCCTGACCATTGGAGAACGGATGGAATGGCACGAAAAGGACATGTCTGATTCCCTGAGCTGCTAAGAAGGTCTCAAATTGCATGACCGTGAATTGGGGCACATTGTCAGAGACCAAGACGTTTGGCAGGTCGTGTGTGGAGAAAAGTCTCTGTAGTACCTTGATGACCGCTTCTGCTATAGTGGACGTCATCAGGACTACCTCTAGCCATTTCGAGTAGGTGTCCACAACTACGAGGAATGTCTGGCCATGAACTGGGCCAGCAAAATCAATGTGAGCCCTAGACCACGGTGCTTGAGGTCACTCTCACTCCCTAGTGGGCACCTCTGGGGAAGCTGGTCTGCATTCCTGGCACGGTGTGCAGGTAGCTACCCATTCTTCGATCTCCCTGTCCATGTTATGACACCACATGTAACTCCTAGCCAAAGACTTCATCCTGACAACTCCAGGATGCCCTATGTATAAAGCCTCTAATACTGCAATGCGCAGTTTGGGTGGAACAACGACCCGGTCCTCCCATAGCAAACAGCCATTTACAACAGATAACTCATCATGTTTATAATGGTACATTTTGAATTCAGACCAACAGCCCCCTTGGGCCACACCCTCTACACCCAGTTCAAAATTTGTTTGATGGTGGAGTCCTTTGCAGAGTGATGGGCAACGTCACTGGATGAGACAGGACCAGCCTCTAGGCAGTAAATGAAAAGGACTGGCATCTCGGGGGTAGGGTCAGCAAGAGGTTCTGGCAGCAGGTGGTGGCTCAAGGCGTTGGCATGTCCCAAAGTGCAGCCTAGTCAGTGGATGAGATGGTAGGAGTAGGCAGCAAGAAAGATGGTCTATCTGGTCAACCATGGTGATAATGACAAAGGAGTAGGTTGGTCCCCAGCCAGTAAGCCCAGTAGCGGTTTGTAGTCTGTAATGAGTTCGAAATCACAGCCATATAGGTACTCCTGGAACCTTTTTACTTCAGCCAAAGCCTCACGGTCCAGTTGGCTGTAGTTCCACTCAACAGCGGACAAGGTTCTAGAGTAAAATTGCTATTGGAGCCTCGATTCCGTTGGGCATGCGGTGGCTTAGGACGGCTCCAACACCGAACGGTGAAGCATTGCAGGTCAACACCAGTGGCAGGGTCTGGCTGTACCGCACCAGGAAAGTGTCCACTGAGAGAAGTCTTTTTACCATGGCAAATGCAGTGGCTTCGGCTCTGCCCCAGGACCACTTTGCATTCTTAGCCAGGAAACAGTGTAAGGGCTCAGCAATGGTGGCTTTCTGTTTAAAAAAGATGCTGTAGAAATTAAGGAGCCCGAGGAACGCCCTTAGCTCGGTTTGATTGCGAGGTGTAGGGGCATCCTGAATTGCTTTAATTTTATTCGAGGTCTGGTGAATCCCAGAGCCGTTGATTAGGTACCCTAGGAATTCAACCCTTGGCACATTAATTTGGCATTTTTCTTTTTTGAGATGGAAGCCTTTGTCTCTAATTTGAGCCAAAACAGTTCGTACACATTTGAAAAATTGCGCCTTATTTGCACCCGATACCAAGATGCCATCAAAATATAGGACGACTCCTGGAGTCCCCTGCAAAAGCCATTCCATGATGCTTTGGAACAATCCAGGGGTGCATTCAGATATCACCACCAAATTGCAGGTGGTGATATCTGAATGCACCCCTGTGCATCACAATGGTTTGGGCCTCTGCTGTAGCGCCATCTACAGGCAATTGTTGGTTTGCCTGTGCCATGTCCAATTTAGCAAATACTTTGCTGAGCCTAATGAATGTAATAGATGCTGTACAATTGGTACAGGCAGTGACGTGCAGTCAGGGGAGGCAGGGGAGGCAGGGGTGGCAGAGCCTCACCACTGTCATCATGAAAAGAAAAAAAAATGTAAAAGGAAAAAGGCAAGAGCTGAGGTAAGGCTGAGCTAGTTGCTGCCAGGGGATGACTCTCCTGGGGATGACTCTGTTTAGTGCTTAACTGTTTAAAAAAGCCTCTAAAAAGCCTCTAAAAAG